GCCATCTTGATACTATTCAGTGTTTCTTTGTGGGGCCAACGAGGCTTAAACCTCAACTACCTCAAGTGGAACATTTAAGTCTATTCTGCCGCATATTCACCGGGTAATTGACTGTAGCTAATTATAGCCTTGCCTTCCCTTTATGTAAGGGAATTATTTCTAATTCTTTGTGATTGGAAATCTATTTAAGGTCTTTGTGGCAGTTTTACAGATTCTCACAATAACCTAAATGGTGTCGGGAGTTAATTCTGGCTATCAACTTGATAATAATCAGAAGCTAGCAAACTAAGAAACTCTGCAATCTGACTGTAGTGCCATTGAATCTTAATGCAATCAAACTTAAAATTGCATTGGCGAGAAAAACTTAACGGTAATATAACAAAAGAAAATGAATTAAAGTCAGACATGAAACATCTCAAACAACAGATGACTCGACATGTTTACAAGTACGTGTGTTGTTGAGAATGTAAGTAGGAAAAGCGGACGATGGGACTCTTTTGAAAAACTCACCTGGACCCAAACATGGCCGAAAATAAGAATTTGGTTTTAAAAACATAAAATAAAACATTTACTGATCATACTGATTACTGAAAACAAATCTATTGTGTGTCTCCGTTAAATAAACTAAAATACAAACAAAAAAACGAATTTTTTGTCTCTTTTGTATGATGTAACATCGTAGCTAATTATATTGCAATCGTTATTCAAACAACCGTTACCGAAATCAACAACCGTTACCGAAATCAGCAACCGTTATCGAAATCAACAACAACCGTTATCGAAATCAACAACAACCGTTATCGAAATCAACAACAACCGTTATCGAAATCAACAACCGTTACCGAAATCAACAACAACCGTTATCGAAATGAACAACAACCGTTATCGAAATCAACAACCGTTACCGAAATCAACAACAACCGTTACCGAAATCGAAAACAACCGTTGCCGAAATCAACAACAACCGTTACCGAAATCAACAACAACCGTTATCGAAATCAACAACAACCATAACCGACAATAACAGTAGTATAGATTATAGCAGCAACTCCACTACTTGCTAAAACATTTTGAATTAAGGAAACTGTTTTACGCTCACTGCTTAGAAATACTTTCACAAGCCACTTTTCATGTACTTTTAAAGTGCAAACCCATGAACCGGTTCCACTGCAAGACAGATCAGTTTTTACGAGCATATTGATGTAATTTTCAACATGTTTGTGGTTCATTAAAATTCATCACCCGTACGTTGTGTGGGGTGGATTTAAGATACGGCGACCTCACTACTCTGATCTAGCATCCGCAGCCCTGCCCGATATACCACCGACCGAAAACAAAAGCTCCTATTCAATGCAGAATAGTCGATAACCAGTGTCATGTATTTCAACTCACGTGAAATATGTGCCAGCTGTTAAATAGGGGGATGGCAAGTGTTACTACCAGGCAGAGAATAGACTTTATCGAGAATACAGAAGACATTATTTTTGTTATGATATTGATACCCCAAATTACAATTATTAAACAAAACTCTTACTCGAGCACGCGCAACGGTAACAAACGTCCCAGCTGAAACCCTGTGTGGGTTAGTGGTACTATTTATCACGGACGTGTTTTGTTTAGTTATTTGTTGCCCCACCCTACAAAATACGATCCTCGTCAAACTGCGCCTGGTATCCAAGGTATTTGCTGGTATGGACATGTGACCAAGGTATTTGCTGGTATGGACATGTGACCTAGGTATTGCCTAGTATGGACATGTGACCTAAGTATTGCCTGGTATGGACATGTGACCTAGGTATTACTTGGTATGGACATGTGACCTAGGTATTACCTGGTATGGAAATGTGACCTAGGTATTACCTGTCAGGGACATGTTACCTGGTATGGAAATGTGACCTAGGTATTACCTGGTATGGACATGTGACCTAGGTATTACCTGGTATGGACATGTGACCTAGGTATTACCTGGTATGGACATGTGAACAAGGTATTACCTGGTATGGACATGTGACCAAGGTATTGCCTGGTATGGACATGTGACCTAGGTATTACCTGGTATGAACATGTGACCAAGGTATTACCTGGTATGGACATTTGACCTATGTATTACCTGGTATTGACATGTGACCACGCGCAACGGTAACAAACGTCCCAGCTGAAACCCTGTGTGGGTTAGTGGTACTATTTATCACGGACGTGTTTTGTTTAGTTATTTGTTGCCCCACCCTACAAAATACGATCCTCGTCAAACTGCGCCTGGTATCCAAGGTATTTGCTGGTATGGACATGTGACCAAGGTATTTGCTGGTATGGACATGTGACCTAGGTATTGCCTAGTATGGACATGTGACCTAAGTATTGCCTGGTATGGACATGTGACCTAGGTATTACTTGGTATGGACATGTGACCTAGGTATTACCTGGTATGGAAATGTGACCTAGGTATTACCTGTCAGGGACATGTTACCTGGTATGGAAATGTGACCTAGGTATTACCTGGTATGGACATGTGACCTAGGTATTACCTGGTATGGACATGTGACCTAGGTATTACCTGGTATGGACATGTGAACAAGGTATTACCTGGTATGGACATGTGACCAAGGTATTGCCTGGTATGGACATGTGACCTAGGTATTACCTGGTATGAACATGTGACCAAGGTATTACCTGGTATGGACATTTGACCTATGTATTACCTGGTATTGACATGTGACCTAGGTATTACCTGGTACGAACATGTGACCTAGGTATTGCCTGGTATGGACATGGGACCTAGGTATTACCTGGTAGGGACATGTGACCTAGGTATTGCCTGGTATGGACATGTGACCTAGGTATTGCCTGGTATTGACATGTGACCAAGGTAAATGAAATAGGCGTGCCGTATGTCTAAACCAACGATTTAGTCAGTTCGTATGTCGAAACCGATAGTATAGTCAGTTCGTATGTCAAAACCAATGATATAAGCAGTTCGAATGTCTGAACCAATTATATATTTAATTCGTATGTCTAAACCCATGATATAATCAGTTCGTATGTCTAAACCAGTTACATATTCAGTTCGTACGCCTGAACCAATTATATACTCAGTTCGTATGTCTGACGATGATGTAGTCTGTTTCGTATTTCAAAACCAATGGTATACTTGTATTCAGTTCCTATATCTAAACCAATGATAAAGGCAGTTCGAATGTCTAAACCAATTATATATTTAATTCGTATGTCTAAATCAATTTCATAGTCACACACACACACACACACACACACACACACACACACACACACAAAATCTGTTTACCTAGTGTTCTGTCAAACCTCTTGATTATTTGCAATTTCCTCCAATTTTCTAAAAAACTGTGGTCCGTGAGTACAGCGTACTTAAAGGCACCATAACACACTCTACAATATTCATTAGTACAGACCTACCGTCACCCCAATGTCATTTAATTAGTCAACAACGCCAAAAATCAATGATTATTATACGTACTTTCTCAAAGTTGTTGTTTTTTCTGACGGACAGATGACTAGTCACGTGACGATTAGTGTCTCGTGTCAGTCTCGCGTTATTCGTGACACACGTGAGGAGAAAAGATCGCCGCCATTATAACCCACAACAAGAAAGATGAGTATGTCACAATAGGAAGTCTCGAACTCCACTGAAAAGAGTCTCGAAATTTGATAATGTCGCCTCCGCCCGTGTCTGTCGTTTGGAAGGTTTCAAGTTAATACGAAATATTTGTGTTGTAATTGGAACCAGTGAAAAAACAAGCTGGATGTAACATTCGCTCGTGGTGGGTCACTAATTGTGTTCAGACACTTGACGGTCCGTATGTTTGATAAAGCAGAACTTCTGCCGCGAGTAGTGTTGAAATTTAACCCCACAAAGAATGAGGTTAAACTATCACTTAGCACAACGTATGCCGATAATGAACTCTTAATATGAAACTTGACTAACAAGTATTGAAGGTGAAACTAATTTCGTAAGTGGATATTCAGAGCTTCCATTAAACAACTATCACAACGCCAGGACAATGACCTCCATCTGTCTGCCTGGTTGGATTCTTATTTAATAACTTAAGGATACTTGACCTTGCATGGGAGGTTTTAGTATTCAGATTTTGAATATTAATAATTATGTAGCATGATTTCTTGCTTTCCAAGAACTTGAATTATCCAATTTATATTCTACACTGTCCGATCTGTTTTCATTTCTACTTTGTGTTTAAAACAGAGCGCAAACTTACAATTCCATCATCGTAACCGTAAACATGTAGCATGTACAACACACCTAATTGTCAGTTGAAAACAGATATATTTCCAAATAACTAGTTAAATATTTCTATTCGTGTTAACTCTCATTCACTCACTCACCCAAGCGTTAAATCTCTCCTTTGTATTCCCGTGAACCTTCATTAACAAAACATGCCTTTTATGAACGCTTCACGCACATTTCTCATATTTTTAGTACACCGTTTTATCTGTTGTTGTTTGAAGATATGCACCTGGAAATACAAATAAGCACCCCTGGCCTGAAATATGAAGGAAAAATAAATGTCATCTGGAAGATGAAGATCTTAACTTACAAAAACACTGATAATGATGGCAATGTTCAATATTTTGATTGTGTAAATAACGCAGTTCTGACAGGACTGTAGTTGGGTCAAAATAACAAGCACAATAACTATGGATCTGGTAACTTGTAGGATCGGGTATAAATGACCATTGCTGTCCGAAAACGTTCATTTATATCTCTCAAAAACAATCTAAATCCTTAAACTCAGAAGCGGGTGTAACCGCCGCGTGCCAATTACAGTACTGTCGAAACTGTTTAATTCACGCAATTAAAATAATCCATAATTAGAATCCATGTGTACAGATACACTCAGAGGAGGAAAGGTGATCAGTATTCAAGGGGACAAGATGACGGTAAATATGGCAAGAAAAAATGGAGATCGGTAGTCAAGGGGAGAAGATGACGGTTAATATGGGAAGAAAAAATGGAGATCGGTAGTCAAGGGGAGAAGATGACGGTAAATATGGCCAGAATAATAATGGAGATCGGTAGTCAAGGGGAGAAGATGACGGTAAATATGGCCAGAAGAATAATGGAGATCGGTAGTCAAGGGGAGAAGAAGACGGTAAATATGGCCAGAAGAATAATGGAGATCGGTAGTCAAGGGGGAAAGATGACGGTGAATATGGCCAGAAGAATAATGGAGATCGGTAGTCAAGAGGAGAAGATGACGGTAAATATGGCCAGAAGAATAATGGAGATCGGTAGTCAAGGGGAAAAGATGACGGTAAATATGTCCAGAAGAATAATGGAGATCGGTAGTCAAGGGGAAAGCAGACGGCGGTAAATATGGCCAGAATAATAATGATAATAACACATGCAAAGTCAAGTCAATGGTTCACCTGGCGCAAATCAAAATAGGGAACTGCATCGGTTATCATATTTGTAACTGAAGCGTCAAATTTGGAAATGTCTTCCACAGGTCTACTATAAAACTTTTTACATAAACATAAAGTGAGTGAGTAAGTGAGTGAGGATAGTTAGAGGAGAATATAATGGTGCCTGTTGGCACTGGACGCTCCCCTATCTGATGCACACGTGGAAGGAAGGTGAGGTGTGGAGGGAAAATGTAAATTTGCGCGCACCGTCTTATTAAAGAATACTTAATATTTATACATTCGAAAGCTTTACAGGTGATCGGGTACACTATAAGGAGTGATTGACGTTTTCTGACCTGAATAAATTAATATGATTTATTTTTCAATATAATCCTTTCCCACATTGATACACCTTTGTCAACGACAAGACCTTCTCTTGGCTGTCAAAAGGTTATCCACAGCTGCGAATCAAAATAGATTTTTTTGCTTATTTCATGTTTGGAAACATATGGAAGTCTTGCGGAGCCAGATCAGGAGAATTGGGTGGTCGCTGAAAGAGTTCAAAGTCACACACGTAGATTGTTAATAACTGATTTCTGCACTGGCGCATTATCCTTATGGAAGAGCTAATATTCCCAGATTACTTAGTCATAATTACATCACGTATTTGCCTCAAAACTGCAACATAATATGCTCAGTTTGTAGTCTGACCCGTAGGAGGTAATCCACTACGATGACACAACGACAGGGAGACCATAACCTTTCCAGCTGATGAAACAGTCTTTGCCTTCTTCTATGGCAGTGATGTCAAAATTCTTCCACTATTTTGTTTTTAGTTTGGAAGTGGTGAACCCAGAATTCACCCATAGTCACACATTGTTGCAAGAACCTTTCTGGTTCAGCGTCAAACAGAGTACGAATATCACGAGACACGTTTTCACGTGCGTTTTTTATCAGATGTCAGAAGCTTCGGAACACAACGAGCTGATACTTTCTTCATTGCCAAAGTTTCTGTGATTATGCAATGTGCTCTTACGCCCTTTCTCTGCATGTACTTGATCATTGCACATTCCTCCATTTTCCAAAGCTCACATGACACCTCCTTATTTTATTGACTTGCCACAGCGAATCAATTTGCTCATTGGCTCAAGTGTCTGTGGGTATACCTCTGTTACATAACGTAACGTCCACAAGAAAAGATGTCACAATGAAGCTTGGAACATATCCATCAACCATCGTAAATATGAATACAAAGATTTACTTTTAAGGTAAGATCTTAACTTTTATCAGTTCATTTCTTTGAGAAATAGTATCAATTAACAATTATCAATCAACCCCCTTAGGTGTCACGTAGATCCACCAACTCATTTAGATATACTCAACAACAAAAGTTCCTGTGACACCAATATTTTAGTGTATATTTCAAACAAGTAAAGTTTGGTTTTTAATATTGTAGTACATGTATGGAATCAAGTCACAAAACGCAACTGCTACAGAAAAGCATGCATTCCATGCAAAAGTTTACTTTTATGCAAGCCCCATGCATTTCGCTACCCAAGAATGGGTGTAAAAACATGTGCGTTAACGAGATTCCATATTCATTGTTTAGCATCATGTTGATTACAACCACTCAGAAAAACAACAAAATTACGCAATTATTGAACATTACGAAATGCCACGCCTGTCCGAAAATGAGCGTCTGCGAGCCATTGGTATCCTTGAAGCAGGATCGAGTCAACGTCAACGCAAGACAATTTAACGTCCAAAGAAACTCCATTTGGTGTTTATGGCAACGTTGGTAACAGACGAATGCAGTCAGAGACCATCCTTGGAGTGGCAGGCCACGCGTAACCAATAATCGACAAGACAACTGGATTCGAACAACACACCTATGAAATCGATTCCAGCCAGCAACAGCGACTGCATGAAGCATCCCTGGCCTTCGACGAATATCTTCACAAACCGTACGTCATCGCCTCTGATGTGGAGGGATTGTCGCCAGAAGGCCCACCAGACGTCTCATTTTGACAGGAAACCACCGTCAAGCATGTCTACAGTGGTGCAGACAGCGTCTACGCTGGACGGCCATGCAGTGGGGACAAGTTCTATTCGCTGACGAGTCTCGTTTTGACCCCAGCCACAGCGATGGACGGATTCGAGTGTACCGACGTCGAAGTGAACGTTACGTAAATCATTGTGTCATGGAAGACGATCGGTTCGGGGACGGCAGCGTTATGGTATGGGGTGGGATTACAGCAAGACAGACGACCCGTTTGATAGTGGTAGAGGGAAATCTCAATGGACAGCGCTACCACGGCGAGATCATCAGCCCTGTTGTTCTACCGTTTTTACGTCGTCATGGCCCAGGCATTACCTTTCAACATGACAACACCCGGCCTCATATTGCTCGACTTGTTCAGGATTCTCTTCAACAAAACAACGTGAATGTCATCCCTAGGCCGGCTCGCTGCCCTGATCTCTCACCTATCGAGCACATGTGGGATGAGATGGATCGGTGCCTTCGACGTCAACCACGTGTTCCACAGACACTCCAGGAACTTCGAAACATGCTCCAGCAGATATGGACAGATATCCCACAGGACTTTGTGCCACGCCTTTACCATTCCATGAGACGAAGATGTGTTGCTTGCATCGCAACCAGAGGTGGACACACACGCTATTGATTTGTAAATTGACATTTTGGCATGTTCATGGTTTTTTAATGAAATCACGGATTTTCTGAAGTCAGTATGGCAAATTAAACCATTTGAACACTTACAGAAGTCTTTTAACTGTTGCAAACCGAAATTGTTTCAGATTTCGTAAAAAAAACTTTGCATTAAATCTTATTCAATGTCACAGGAACTTTTGTCAAATCTCAATTTCTATGTTGTAAACGCGTTTGATGTGTATCATCTGACGGGCTCTCGGAGTAAATATTTTCTCTTTTTAACATGAATCATGTGACTGGCTTTCTGAGTGAACATCTTCTCCTCAGACATGGATCATGTGACTGCCGTGCAGAGTAAAAATCTACACTTCTTGACATGGATCATGTGACTGGCATGCAGAGTAAATATCTGCTCTTCTTGACATGGATAATGTGACTGACGTTCAGAGAAATTATTTATTTTTCTTGACATGGATCATGTGACTGGCGTGCAGGGTAAAAATCTACACTTCTTGACATGGATCATGTGACTGGCGTGCAGAGTAAAAATCTACACTTCTTGACATGGATCATGTAACTGGCGTGCAGAGTATATATTTAATCTTCTTGACATGGATAATGTGTCTGACGTTCAGAGTAAATATTTATTCTTCTTGACATGGATAATGTGATTGGCGTGCAGATCAAAAATCTACACTTCTTGACATGGACCATGTGACTGGCGTGCAGAGTAAAAATCTACAATTCTTGACATGTATCATGTGACTGGCGTGCAGAGTAAATATCTACTCTTCTTGACATGGATCATGTGACTGACGTTCAGAGTAAATATTTAATCTTCCTGACATGGACCATGTGACTGGCGTGCAGAGTAAAAATCTACTCTTCTTGACATGGATCATATGACTGGCGTGCAGAGTAAAAATCTATACTTCTTGACATGGATCATGTGACTGGCGTGCAGATTATTTACAGACCGCCGTCATATAGGTGGAATATTGCTGAGTGTGGCGTTAAACAACAAACAAAGAAACAAACAAAGAGTAAAAATCTACACTTCTTGACATGGATCATGTGACTTGCGTGCAGAGTAAATATCTGCTCTTCTTGACATGGATCATGTGATTGTCATCCAGAGTGAATATCTACTCTTCATGAATCATGTGATTGTCATCCAGAGTGAATATCTACTCTTCATTAATCATGTGATTGTCATCCAGAGTGAATATCTACTCTTCATTAATCATGTGATTGTCATCCTGAATGAATATCTACACTTCATGAATCATGTGATTGTCATCCTGAATGAATATCTACTCTTCATGAATCATGTGATTTGTCATCCTGAATGATCATCTACTCTTCATGAATCATGTGATTGTCATCCTGAATGAATATCTACACTTCATGAATCATGTGATTGTCATCCTGAATGAATATCTACTCTTCATGAATCATGTGATTTGTCAACCTGAATAAATATCTACTCTTCATGAATCATGTGATTGTCATCCTGAATGAATATCTACTCTTCATGAATCATGTGATTTGTCATCCTGAATGATTATCTACTCTTCATGAATCATGTGATTGTCATCCTGAATGAATATCTACACTTCATGAATCATGTGATTTGTCATCCTGAATGAATATCTACCCCTCTTGGCATGAATCATGTCACTGGTTTGCAGAGTGTATATCCACTCCTCTTGACATGGATCATGTGAATGGCTTCAAGGGTAAATATATCTTCTCTTCTTCTCACGAATCATCTGATTGGCTTGCAGAGTAACTACCTACTCTTCTTTGCATGAAACATGTGACTGGTTTGCAGAGTGAATATCTACTTTTCTTAATATGAATCATGTAACTGGATTGCAGAGCGAATATCTACTCTTCTTGTCATGGCTCATATGACCGGCTTGCAGAGTGAATATCTACTCTTTTTGACAGTATTTCATTTCAGTGAATGGCTTGTCTTCTTGCCATTACTCAGGTGATTTGATTGCAGACTTATAATCTACCTTTCTTGTCATGAAACATGTAACTGGCTTACAGAGTAAATATCTACTCTCCAAAACATGAATTATGTGACTTGCTCTCTATCTCTATCTTTTTGACCTTGATCATGTGACTTTCATGAGGCGACCACATTGCGCAACACGTTTGCCGTGGGTTTCGCCCCTGTGTCGGTGGAGGTAGGTAGTCTGGTGGTTGAGGGCACTGGTTCCAGGAATA